CAATGAAGGAGGAGGAGAAGGAGTGGGAGGAGTGAGGAAAGAATGAGAACAAGGAGGAAGAGGAGATATAAATAGAGAGGGTGGAAGAGAAAGGGAAGAAGAAGGGAAGAGAAAGGTAGAGAGGGAGGAAGAAGGAGGAGGAGGAGGAGTACCAGAGAAGAGGGGAGAAAGAAGAGGAGGAGAAGGAAAAGGGAAGACGAGAGAAGGAAGGGTAGGAAGGAAGAGAGCGGAGGGCGTATAGAAGGGGAAGAGCTGAGAGGGAAGTAGGGGGAAAGGGAGGAAGGAGTGGGAAGAAAAGGAGAGGAAAATAAGAGGAGAAGAAAGAGAGAAAATGAGGGCGGATGAAAGGAAAGAGGAGAAGATAGGGGGAAAGAGGGGGGAGTGAGACGAGGAAGAGGTAGAGAAACAGTGAGGGAAGAGGAGGAGCAGGAGGAGGAAGAGGGGTTGGAAGAGGAAGGGGGTAGAGAAGGAGAAGCAGTGGAGGGAAGAGGGAGGAGAAAGAGGTGGAGATGTGAAAGCAATGAGGAGAAGGATGAGGGAAGAAGATAAAGAAATAGACAAGGAGAAACAGAATCAAAGGGAGAAGGGAGTTGCGGGGGAGGGGGAAGGGGGAAGGGAAGGGGAAGGGTCACGAGTGTAAACATTGTTCTCATAGCCCGTGGTGATGTAAGGCCCACGTCTGACTGATTGACTCAAGCTTAAGACACCAAGATGCGGCGTTCAATATGGCCTCTAGACTGCTCGGTGACTTGATGTTCACTAAATACCTTCTCTTAACACACACACACACACACACACACACACACACACACACACACACACACACACACACACACACACCACCCGAGGTACATTACCATAAAGTAGGTGCAAATATCTTTTTTACGGCAGCATAACTCTACTATTAACATTCATTCTCCACTGCGTCACACTTGTTTTTTTAAAGTTGTTTCGTCCTCAGTGAACGAAACGTGTGAACTGTGGCACCTGCGTTAATATTTCAGTTAGTCATCTTAGTTTATTCAGAGGTTAGGTTAATTATGTATGGTTGTGTTAGGTTGGTGGAGTGGCTGGTGTGTTAGGTTGGTGGAGTGGCTGGTGTGCTAGTGAGGTCTCTACTGGCCAGCGTTCGATCCCAGGACCTATCAGCAGCCCCCCCCAGCCCCCTAGCCCCCCAGTCCCAGCAGGTCTAGTTAAGTGGTGAGGTGAAAAAACTCGATCTATATGATGCTACACCACACTGAGAGGCGGCCACCTTACTGTGGGGAGGTGGGGAGAGGGGCATCTTCCTTGTGAGAGACTGAGGGAGGGGGGGAGGTGTCGTCCGTGTGGGGAGGGAGGCATCTTCTTTGTGTGTGAGGAGGAGGCATCATCCGTGTGGGGAGGGAGGCATCTTTTTGTGAGGGTGTGAGGGAGGCATCATCCGTGTAAGGAGAGGCATCTTCTTTGTGAGGTGTGAGGGGAAGGGAGGCATCTTCTTTGTGAGGGTGTGAGGAGGCATCATCCGTGTAAGGGAGGAGGCATCTTCTTTGTGAGGGTGTGAGGAGGCATCATCCGTGTAAGGGAGGGGGAGGCATCTTCTTTGTGAGGTGTGAGGCATCTTCTTTGTGAGGTGTGAGGAGGTGTCGTCCGTGTAGGGAGGCATCTTCTTTGTGAGGGTGTGAGGAGGCATCATCCGTGTAAGGGAGGAAGCATCTTCTTTGGAGGTGTGAAGGGAAGGGGAGGCTTCTTCTTTGTGAGGGCTGGAGGTGGGGGGGGGGAGGTGGTACATGTTGTGAAGGACTCGTAGACTTTTAGAGAAAATTTTCAGCATCGTGGCGGCCAGAGACCATAATCTACCACCCATGCCTGACAGACACACATACATTAACAACATCTTAACACCCTAATCATTACTTCCATTCATCTTTTATTACCTTAACAAAGAGTAAACTTACGTAAACTTATATCTTACTTCACCGTTTGGTTTACAGAGGCGTTTCCATTGAACTATTCACACCTTATCTATATGGTAAAAGGTATTGATTAACCTGGTAGACTGAGTCGTATTATATATTTACGACGTATACCGACCAGTGAAGACCTTACCTTCGTGTACAGAAATTCATGTTAGTGCAATTCAAACAAACATCACATACAGATAACAACTCTGTCAATTGTCGGGAAGAATTCTTAGGAAAATTAGTTGATTAGAGTGACTGTCTACCCTAATGATTGACAGACAGACAGATGGACAGACAGCTAGACAGACAGACAGACAGGAAACGTGTCATCCAGTATAGCCAAACACTGTCCCCTATACACATTCGTTGACGAGTGGCATAAACAACCTCCATCCCCCTTACCAACATCTATATGCAAATGCAGTCTCTCTCCATCATTCTTACCCCCTCGTTCGTTATTGGTTTAGTCAAATAATATCATATATTCTCAAAATTTTGCACAGAAATATTATTATCCTGTGTGTAAACAGAGTAGAGGAGCCAGTTATCTGAGGAGTAGACGAGACGAGGCTCTACCTACAGGGGGTCAGGCCACTCACCGAATTTCCCAGCGGGTTCCTTCACCTCTTCTATCGATACTTTTACCTCACCCAGAGATTTTTTTTATTAGCGATCTCGGGGGCCCCACTACCATCACTGTAGGGGGGGGGGTTATAGCCACGAGCAGCAGGATGGTGGGGGTGGTGGGGGTGGGGGTGGGGGTAGGGGTGGGGGTTTCTTGGTAGGGGTGGACAGTAGGTGTATAGACAGAGACAAGAGGCGGCTGCAGGGGTAGAGAAGGAAGAGGAAGGAGTTATCATGTCCTTAATAACTTGCTAATGTTGACATAGTTAATTGGAAGACAAGACGTGGTGGTGATCGGGGTAGAAGAAGATACTGATGATGATTAAGAATGACAGGAAAAAGGTGTCACAGCAGAGAAGTTACAGAAGAGGGAATGAAAACAGAGACTAATGATAGAGTGGAGAGAGAGGGAGAGAGAGAGAGAGTAATCGTTGATGTTTGAGGGAAGTATAGAGAGAAGCCAAGTAATGATTGAATAGCAAGAGGCGATGGAAGGGAAGCTTGAGGTGTGTGTGTGTGTGTGTGTGTACCAGAACACTATGATTAAAAAAAAAATCAAAACAAACTCCTATATCTGCGTAACACTCGTCCCCCTCACCAGCGAAAACACACCCCACTCCCCCTCACCAAAGCAAAACACCTCCCCTCACCAGCAAACACCCCCCTCCCTTCACCAGCGAAACACACCCCTCCCCTCACCAGCGAAACACACCCCCTTCCCCCCTCACCAGCGAAAACACACCCCCCTCCTCCTGCAAACACACTCCCCTACACAAACACAGAAACACCCCTTCCCTCACCAGCAAAACACACCCCTTCCCCCTCACCAGCAAACACACCCCCTCCTCTCTCCAGCCCCCCCCCTCACAAGCGAAACACACCCCTCCCCCTCCTGTGAAACACACCCCTCCCCTCACCAGCAAACACACCCCCCCTCCCTCCTGCGAAACACACCCCTCCCCTCACCAGCAAACACACCCCCCTCCCCCCTCACCAGCAAAACACACTCCCCTCCCCTCCGAGAAACACCCCCTACCCCTCACCAGCAGAAACACACCCCCCTCCCCTCGTGACACCCCTTCCCCTCACCAGCGAAACACCCCCCCTACACCCCCCTCACCCTCCTAACACAACTTTGATTGGCTCTCCAAGTTTATGGATGATAGTCTAATTTATTGCCTTGTAAAACGTAAAAAAGTATAATAATAATAAAAAATAAACAAAGGCTGGCGTGTTTGTGGGCTGGTATGACTCCTGCCGTTGGTGATTGTGTCTCTTTTTTATGAGTTTATTGGGCTGTTGAAAATAGTCTCGTGTGGTCGTGGTAACGGGGTAACATAAACCTCTTTGTTAAGGATATGAGGTACGTAAAACAGAGTGACAGTGATAGAGAGTTTTGCTAAGTGTGTGTGTGTGTGTGTGTGTGTGTGTGTGTGTGTTTATCTTCTCTCTTTCTGCTCATCTACAATCATCATCATCTTACTTAGAACGTAACAGTGAATGAAGTGTTCTGAAACGTTCATATGGTAGTATTTTTTTTATTTTCTTGTAGTTTTTCTTTAATATAAGCAAAAACTCAATGTCTTAGTGTTAGGTATAAGATTGTAATTACCGATTCGTCAGTCCAGCTCTTCGTGTTTGTTAGAGAGAGGCCTATATGTCATAGCCTATTCAGACAATATTCTCCTATGATAACAGACAAAACCAGACACACTTAACCAGAAGAAAATTAGAGATTTATGTATTTATAACTATATAACTCTATCTTTTATGTCTAACCGCTCTATCTTTTAAGACAAACTGCTCTATCTTTTATGACTAACCGCTCTTCTTTTTGATGTTATAATGTATTTCCCTTTAACAACTGAGGTTTCGTAAGCATATAGTCCAGATTACAGCTTAAACTAGTCACCAACGAGTGAGTATTAAGAGATAGATCTGTGTATGGTATTCTTGGTAGGATATACTTGGAGCCATTTCGTGTACGCAAACGATAATACTTGAGTCACCCACACTAAGCGTTATAAGATGCTACCAAAGAAAATAAAAAATGTTTGCGGGGAAACTATTTTATTATGGCAGTTGTTTATGTTCAAAGTAATATTTGTGATTTTTTTCTTGATACGTCAAAGGTAATGTTTGGATTAATTTCGTTGTGTAAGTACCAAGCGTTTGTGTTAACTGTTGCAGGAAGAAACATGAATGATTATTTTCAATTTCATTTTATCAAGAGTTAAGTTAATTCAGCAGTTCGTTGCAGGTTTTATCAATTAGTTACAATAGTACGTGACTTATTTAGTTAGGTTTGGGTGATAAGATTTTTTTTGTTACTCGTTCATTCCAGAATTTCTCATTCCGATTAAGATTCCCGGTGTACTGGTGTGAGAGCCCCCCCCCCCCTCCCGTTGGGGTTAAAAAAAAGACAAAAACAAATAAAATCTTACATACAATTTATTACAAAAATATCATCTGAAACAGGTAATATAAATGGTGTTCTAAATTATAACACAGGTGTGGATGAGAATGAGTTAAGGGAGGCGACAGACACTCATACAAGCATGTGCAGAGGGGTGAAACATGAAGAAGCAACACACACACACACACACACACACACACACACACACACACACACACACACACACACACTCTGTCATAATCCCCTTTACTGTTAAATGAAGACTCGAACATAAAGAAATAATTATCACAGACATTATTATTAATATACCACTAACACATTAATTACCACAAGGTGATCTCCTATCTCCTCTCACGTTCACAACTGAGTCATAACAAGATCGGGATTCACAAAAGTTCGTAAGGTTAAAAAAAAAAAATCCTCGTAAATGGAGACACAAAAATGGACCTAAATGTTTCTTTGCTCTAGATCACAAAAGATCATCATATCATAAAGACTCTGAACTTTAACTGGGGGGCGTTCAGTTAGTATGAATGAGTGAAGAGACAAAATAAAGGTTGGTTACAAAATATTACCTAAATGATTCTGTTGCTTTGATTTATTTTTCTTATTTGATGCTAATTTGTTAAGTTTGAGTCTTAGTATAATTTTAATGGTGTTTTGGATTTATATATTGTTTTTATATTGAAAATTAAATCAACCAGTTATGACGATTATCTATTAAACCTTTGTGACTCTGGAGCCGAAATTCTCTTAAGGTTCGCACGTTAAACACTCCTCCCTTCACTAGAGTCGGGTGTGTGTGTGTGTGTGTGTGGGTGTGTGTGTGTGTGTGTGTGTGTGTTACTCTACCAGTAGGGGAAAAAAAGTTGGTGGCCGTGATAACATCTGAAGAACAACACCTAGGCTGTGACGTTTACTGGACTTGTTCACTGTTCTCTTGTGTAATTCCCTGTGACGGTGTGTGTTTGTTATACATCAAGAACATTTAACAGTTCAGTACATCCTGGTTTAATGTGTGGGTTTTTTTTTTAGTTGATTTAGTACTCAATATTAAAGTGGTTTTATATTTTGAGTTGACGAATTTGAGAGAACAGAATTCACTATGGTATTTTAAAGGTCCCTCTCTCTCAACAAGTATGTCCACAATAGGTAATAGGAAAAGAGTGATTAACGTACAAAGATTGAGAAAACTTGTTCCCAGCTTCGTCCACAACACAACAACAGGCTGCAGAGATGGGTACCAGGCCAGATGAGGCACGAACCCTGAGATCACACACACACACAGCTAGGCGGGAGTATCCGGCCCCCCACCCGACACAACCACCCAGTCAGTACCTTGTTGCTGGACGGCCGGAACAACGAGCAATACTCACTAAGGCAACATACAACATGACTACTCACCTTCTCACATTTTTAACCTAATGTTTTTGTTTTTCTTCCTTCCCTTTTTCCTCCTCAGTCACTCGATACCTCAATTTTCTTTCCTCGCTAAAGATTCAGGTTTATTTTCGCGTAAGTTTGGCGAATTGGCAGTGACTGTTCAGCAGACTATAAGATAACTGAAGTAGAACAGATGATGAACACAGTGGTAAGGTGCCATAGTTTGATCCAGTATGGCATCAGGTAGTTTATTATAAGAGAAAATATAATAAAAAAATGAAACGAAAACAAAAATAACAAAGTCCGAATGTCCTCTGCGAGTCTTTTGATACGGTCGTTAAGGTGACAAAGTGTACCAGACACTTAATCTAACCAGCACAATTCCGTAGCCTTGAGTTAGATCCTCGGTGGGAGTAAACAAACTGTACCGGATACTATGATCGAACAAGTTCATCTCCTCATCCTCTTGTCGGGTGGTGTTTCATGAGTACCGCAGAGTGAACTAAACTGTACCCAGAATCTGTGGTACAAATTTAGTTTCTTTTTCTTTCCGGGAGTTTGTGTGTGTTGGGGGTAGAGGTGACGGAGGAGGGGGGTGTCCTAGAGGCTAAGGGAGGGTCTCTTCTTGTCCTTCCTCCTGAGGGTTCTCTTACCAGCAGACTCCTTCACTATGACGGTGGGCTTGAGTGTAGGCGAGGGAGGGTCTGGTCCACGCCCTATCAGTGACCCAATCATTCTGAAGAAAGATAAAAAAAAAAGAGGTTACACCACTTGCTGCGTTAACTTTTGTTCTTTTAATATTATCTAATGTATTTATTGTATTTTATTATACTGTATCTGGTTTTTATACCTTTGAAACTTTCTATAATAAATTCCTTCGTTGTGTCAGTGATAAAATCTAAGGTTCAAACTTGCCGAAAAAGAAAATTGGGATATAATGTGTTCTCCGAGATTCAGTACGAAAGGTTAAAGGTCTCCACAAACGACTGAAGCCTAAGTTTGGTGGAGGTAAAACAGGTTTGTATGTACGTAATGTTGCAGCGTTCACACCTTGAGACGGCGACAATGGAGATGCGTCTCTGTCTGGGGAGGGGACGAGTTAGCTGTAGGGACCTGGTCTCTCGTAGGAGTGCCTGAAACGCCAGAGTGACGCCCACGTGACTCTCTGCGGCACTCACCTCGTAGAACTGGCACCCTTGTTGTAGTGAGAGTGCCTGACCCTCCTCTACTGACACCTGTAATAGTTATACCTTGTTAGTCGGGTGATGTAGACAGTGGATTTTTTTTTTTTACACAACAAAAAGTTTCACTACAAATTTCAACAAAATCTAAGAAACTCTTTATTGTAACATCCCTAAATAGAGTTGATGGGATCCAGTTATGTATTCTGCGTAGTTTATGACACGCACCTCATCTGTGGCACTGCTCCATGAATGCCACTACAGAAGAGAGGACTCACCTGTCTGCCAGGGTCGAGGTCCCGCTTGTTAGCCAGCAGGATGACGGGGACGTAGACGGGCGCCTTGAGTCGCTGGAGGGCGTCAAGGATGGCCGCAGCCTCGTGGAAGGATGCGGAGTCGTCCACTGAGTACACCACGACGAAGCCCTCACCCCAGCGTGTGTGTGATGACGACACGCCCTCGTTCTCATGCTGTATACACAAACAGTTACACACCTTACACGTACTGCCTCACCTTCACCAACACGTTACTTATCAATAATGGAAATTCTTGCATATATTCGACATTAATATTAATGAGTAAGCCCCTGCAAGACCCACCTGGCGCAGTGACACGTCGAGGATTTCCACGTCGGAGGTGACGTCATCGAGAGACACAGTATGGCGGTAGAGCAGGTCTATGGCTCGCCGGTACTCGCTGATGTAACGTCGCGTCAGGTACCGTACCGTCAGGGCTGCAAAACACAAACAAAACCTCTATACTACATGCTGGCGCCCTCCCTTGCATACTGAGTTGAATCATAACGAGGAAACAGAGAGGCGGGGTGAAGGGGTCAGCATATATATGAGAGATAAACACCAGACAGCACCTCATCCAGCTGTCAGACGTGACACCTCACCAGCCACCATCCCTCCTCACCACGCCACCATCCCTCCTCACCACGCCACCATCCCTCCTCACCACGCCACCATCCCTCCTCACCACGCCACCATCCCTCCTCACCACAGCACCAAACAATACAGTACATAACATTTTACAACAGAAAAAAATAATACAATTAACACTTCACCTTTATAACTAATAATACACATTCATAAACAAACATAAGTCTATAATTTTGCTGTCGAAGTTAAAATATAGTTAAGGTACATTCCCACAGGTAGCATTAGGGGGTTAATCTTCAGGTGAAATAACCCTAAGGGGGGAGGTGGTTAATTCTCAGGTGATTCTCGAGTTGTTCTTAGTTCTGTGCTAAATGTGTTCACTATTCTTCAACTTAATACAGTGTTTGTTATTCTTCATAGTTACTCTCCGGCGTCTACTTATAAATATTCTTTACCTAATAATAAATAATGGACATGATAATATTTAGTACGTGGAGTGTGTGTGTGTGTGTGTGTGTGTGTGTGTGTGTGTGTGTGTGTGTGTGTGTGTGTGTAGCGTTGGGGTATGTGGGGGGATTTGGGGTGTGTATGTGGAAGTGTTGGGGTGCGTGGGTGTGTGTTGGGGAGTGTGTGGGAGAGGGGTGGGGGTTGGGGTGGAGGCAATACAGGTTCACCCACTAGCTCGTCTCTCAGAGGTTACCCACAGCTCCCAGATACCAGGTATTGTGGGGGAAGTGGGGGAGGGAAGTGGTCAATAGTGGTAGGAAGGGTGGAAATAACCAGTGGTGGGTGGAGAGGTAATAGCAGCTAGTGGTAGGGGGAGGGTTAGAGCAGCTAGTGATGGGGGGGGCGGAGGAGTTAGTGGTAGGGGTGAGGAGAGTTGAGAGCAGCCAGTGGTATGGAGAAGGGCACAGCATTAGTATGGGGAGAGGTGGAGTACAAGGGTGTGGAGGTACTTCAGGTGGAGTACAAGGGTGTGGAGTGATGAGGAGGAGAGCAGGAGGCACACAGGGACACCTCACTCTCATACCAGCATTATCTTCCCTTGTATGTAACATCTTGCAACACATGTGTAAGCTCATAACTTGTGTACCTGAAGCCTTGAAGTATTGGTCTTGGGATAAACTCAGTCTAGGTTTTCATCGACAGCTGCTGGGTACTGCGACGAACCATCACCTAACGCCAGGGGGAGTCGTGAGGTTGGCAAACAAGACCCCGACCTACAACGCAGTATAATACGGATACATTGTCCACGAACGCCATGTACTACGATCCACGAACCAGGTATTTACGGCCAATATTGTTGATGGAGTGTGTAATCTTTTTCGTCCAGGTATTCAATTAACCCAACATCGTGAAGGCTGGTCAAGGAACACTTCTAAAATACTTTCTAAAATGCTATACCAAGATAGGGGTTGGAGTCTGATGATGCGTTATTCAGTGAATCTCTCAACAACAACAACAAGGTAATGATGGTGTTGTCAAGGTTATATAAACAACGAGTAGACGAGTAATTAAGGTATAATTTATTACACCTGGCCTGAGGTATGTATGAATAAGTATGAATCAAGAGGTATGAAAATATGAGAGATTCAAGACTAAAAATAATAAAAATAAATTATAAACTCTGCAGAAATATATCAGGAGGATTTATTTTATTTGGATTATTTTTATTCGATTGGGTTTTTGTTTTTTCTGAGTCTGACCAGTACTTGTCCAGTTGTTTCTAAATAAGAACTTTTTTTTTTAGCTACGTAGTCAATATGAGTGTCACAGCTTCCATTATCATAATTAATGTCTGTCGCTTTAATAAATGATTCTCAGGCCATAGTGAATAAGGTCAGAAAACTCCTTAGGTAGACGCTGTCATTAAGTTTCTTGTACATTATGCAACATTTTTATGAATATTTCGAAAAACTCAACCCGTTAGTCGTGGCCCCGGGGAGAACAACAACTCTCTTTCCTCACAAGTGTTGGCCGCTCATACCAACATACCGGTATAAAAGGCAATAGTCACCTTCCTTTATTGCTTTCAGGTGTAAAAAGTTACCCTGGATGAGCTTATATGCAGATAATAACCGATTTTATTTGTTTCTCAGCCGTTCCCTTGTTCTCCTTCAGGAGGCTGGCGCCAGTCTCACCTTGTTGGCGATTCGCGAGTCGAGTATCGCTACTTATGGCCGCCAGGGGTGTGGGCGCCAGGCCTGTGAGGTAGATCATCTCTACTCATACAACATAACTAAATGGTGATATCCTCTCAGCTGGTCATATTACCAACATGATATAAAACTCATATATCACCAGCTATTCAACTAGTAATGTATAACTCGCTAACTCGCTCCAGAAAGTATCTTTATGATTTTGTGTGAGACAATATGACACAAAGGACGAAAAATTTTGACAACCCTCCCAAGACAACAGGAGTCGCGGCGTTCATTCTGAAATTCATCGGTCACCTCCGTAAAGGTACTTTTTGGAGCGAGTACCTTAAGTAAACACTGTAGTTGGGAAGCTGTGTTCCTCGTGCCCTGGTCACCACCTCGCTATACGCTGACCCTGACGACGCGTTTTGAGAAGAGTCAGGTTAAACAAAGTATAATTGACTAAAGATAAATGATGAGATTGTGGGAATGAAAATAATGCCACTAAGTTGAAATAAAATGTCCTGTTATCATAAGAAACTCTCAGACTATCACCTCATGGATAATATAACAAACTTACACAGATGATCCCTTGAGTGAGATAAACCACAACAAACACAGGGCGGGAGTGTGACCAGTGTTTCAAGACCTTAGTTGTTGAGACGCACTAATACATTATAAAGTCAACATACAGTACACGTCAAGCGGGCCCCATAACGAGTTCCGACAGTGTTGGCTCTGATCTACAGGGTCTCGGAATATCTTTATCCATATCACGCGCTGGCCAAGGACGTCGCCATGTCCCCAGTTAGGTTGATGGATGTGTGTGGGAAGTTAAGGATCACGTGTGTGTGGAGAGCCTCACCACGGAATACAATACTTAACCGCAAATCAGAACTTCACCAATAATGATTTGTTTGGTGTTTCTTGCGCCATAACATCCCACACAGGCGCTGACGTTTTTAATATATAATATCCTCTATTTTATTTTGTTAGAGACACTATGTTGACTATGTTTCTTCATTTACCTTTCTTCCTCCCACTCTCTACACCGTCAGGCAGGTGTTTGGTACATACACCTCTGGAGCTCCACCCATGATCAACAGAGACTCGTCATCCCGCCGGGACTCCGCCCCTGCTGCGGGGGTTATATCCTTACCTAAAGTGGCCAACACCAATATGAGTCACACTCCTTATGGGGACACCCTGCGGCCTCACACTACCCACTGCTGGCACGGTCTTGCCCAACTTTTACCCCAATCCAACTCGGTATCCGTACACCACATTACAAAAATATACTGGTCTATCCCTTGCTGCTTCTACAGCATATACCTGGATCACTCGCAACTACAGTGATTTACTTGCATATATATATATATATATATATATATATATATATATATATATATATATATATATATATATATATATATATATATATATATATATATATTTAACATTGTATTTTTGTTATGTGAGGAACACTTGGAAGAAACTCTGTTTTGTGAGTGGATCAGCAGGTTACTGATCTACATAAACATTAGGGGCAAGTAACGTGTGGCTCCCTACTGGGCGTAAGAGGTCCTTGTAGCTAATGATACAAGACAGTTTAATGTTCACTGGACATTCTCAAGACCAGATCACAAGGTGTAAACATCCTCTTCTGGGTCGCCAGATAATAGAGACGTGGACGGTCGACTGCTTGCATGAGTCTTGATTATTTTATGAAGCAGAACCTTAACACAATCACATCTTAAATACTGCATATCAATATTTAGGGTCAGGCTCCTGGCTAGTAAGTAAACATTATAGCCAACCAGATGGTCAAACGATTCTCGGTGGGATGTGAAGAAAAAAATACATCGATAATTCTGTATTTACATTTCAAAGAGAGAGAAATTCCAAGAAAGAAAATAATGTGACGTGAACCATGTATTACTCGTGCACATTTGCAACCGTAATGGGAGAGGAAGTGAGTGGTGAGCCATTACCCAGGTCATAAATGGTGGTGGTGCTGACCTTACATGGCCACAACACCTCGTAAGGCTGGCGGGGAAATCAACCAGACACTTCATCTTCTACTATCATGCAACTCCTCGACCCGCAACTCCCATAAGCAGAAGACCACTCATATAATACATCTCCTTCCCCCCTCACCCTCACACCACCGCACGCCTCACAACAACACCCTATCGTGAGTTCTTCTCTTTGGTGTTTGATGTCTCTCTTTATGTTACTTTATTTCATCCTCTACCAGACCCGTTTTCTATTAACATTCTCTATCATGTCGACCATTTTACTAATATTTTTTTACGTACATTATGTTAATTTTATGTATTTCTTCTCAAGGATATAGTGTGGTGATAAATGTCTTAAAACTCATTCTCACTGTTACCCAAAGTGCCTGTTTTCTGTTTGTGTTGTTTTAAAGAACAATAGTTTCACATCTCGTTTGGGAGACAACCAAATACCAGTGAGCTCAAATATACACCCTTCAAATATACCTATTCTATATTTATAAGTTAATCTGAAATTTAATTGTTTTCAATCACCGTTCCGTCGTGTAGTATATTAATGAGTTTTGTCCTTAAATGGAGTTAATGGTTAATACAATTAATGAAGTTACCGAAATCATTTTAGAAAGTCTATTATGTACCACCTGCAAGGCCTCACGGATTTCCTCGTGATAGTTGAGTCCCATTATTATTTTGGAGTTAAACATTTTATTATATATATATATATATATATATATATATATATATATATATATATATATATATATATATATATATATATATATATTCTCCAGCATGTATTTTTTTCATTACAGAAAATGATATCGTTTTTGTGTATAAAGTGACATTTAAACACCTTGGGTAGTGAGGTGTTTACAAGACGACCCGAACGATGACGCCAAACCAAGTTTCTTGTACAGTAGTTGGTTGGCTGGTGGTAACTGCTCGTGTTTATTGTGTAACATATCTTGACAAATCTCCACAACATGTGGAACTTAGACGACTGCGCAGTTAGAGGTTTTTTCTTTGAGTCAAGGTAATAGAAATTGTTTCTGTAGATTCTGTATAATCATAAACACTTAATAAAGATACGCCATCTTGATGAATTACCGTGCAGGATGTGATGTTGCTGTGTTAATGTCCATCGTGGGCATTATAGGTTTATCTTCACGGTCGCACTGTTAATATTGGTTAGGATGTCATTCATATGAAATTTTAAGATCGTTTCCAGGTGAATTTATAAGCTAGTTATATTATGATTTAAATAGTAAGGACTAAACAGTTTAAAGTGACGTAATATACCTGAGGCGTCCCGAGGTTTTGGGTTACTTCGTTATTTCCATTATGGTTCTACTTAATTATTTATGAAATGTTACTTTTATAGTAATTTTATATAAAATCGAAGGGACCGTAATATGCTACTTCAGGTAATATCGTTATTTTCCTTAAGCAAGACCCAAACCCGTGTTGGAACAGCCCGTACAGGTTAACAGTCCCGATACTGGAGCTGCGTAAAAGCAACATTGAATTTACTTACGAAATGGCAAGTATATGCCTCGGCCTCCGCTCCTTCAGTGAACTGGCTAACACCGTGTCCTTGCTTGTGTATATATCTCTCGCTGATTCATTCTTGGTAAAATAGAACATAAATCTATCTTCATTAATTCGCTGAAGGATCCGTTCACAGCAAGTGCTTTAAAGTAACAAATATCCAACAAACAAAATCGCTTAAAGATGAATCAAGCAGACATATAGTTAGTTGGTGTAGCCTGAGAGAATGACACAAGCGAGAGAGTATAAGATCCACCCAGGTCAAATTATAAACACCATGTTGGGTAAGGCTGGTGGGTGGGTGTTGTTAGTGCAGTGACTCACCCGACTTGCCGACGCCCTCCGCCCCCAGTACCACGATCCTAAGTCTGGGCAACTGCTGGTGCCTGGGGCGGCCCTCCCTCCCTCCTGGCGACGACGGCACTTTGTCTCTCTCCTCACTCCTCATCTTGTCTCCTGCAGAAGGGAACATCTATTGGTTAGAATGATATGGTGACGGTTGTGGCATGTATGGTGACGGTTGTGGCATGTATGGTGATGGTTGTGGCATGTATGGTGATGGTTGTGGCATGTATGGTGATGGTGGTGACATGTATGGTGATGGTTGTGGCATGTATGGTGACATGTATGGTGACGGTTGTGGCATGTATGGTGATGGTTGTGGCATGTATGGTGATGGTTGTGGCATGTATGGTGATGGTGGTGACATGTATGGTGATGGTGGTGACATGTATGGTGATGGTGGTGGCATGTATGGTGATGGTGGTGACATGTATGGTGATGTATGGTGATGGTGGCATGTATGGTGATGTGGCATGTATGGTGATGGTTGTGGCATGTATGGTGATGGTTGTGGCATGTATGGTGATGGTGGTGACATGTATGGTGATGGTGGCTGTGACATGTATGGTGACGGTTGTGGCATGTATGGTGATGGTGGTGACATGTATGGTGATGGTTGTGGCATGTATGGTGATGGTGGTGACATTTATGGTGATGGTTGTGGCATGTATGGTGATGGTGGTGACATGTATGGTGATGGTGGTGACATGTATGGTGATGGTGGTTGTGGCATTTATGGTGATGGTTGTGGTAACATGGATGGTGATGGTGGTGACATGTATGGTGACGGTTGTGACCTGTATGGTGATGGTGGTGACATGTATGGTGACGGTTGTGACCTGTATGGTGATGGTTGTGACATGTATGGTGGTGGGTGTGGTATGTATAGTGATGATTATGACATTATTATTGTTAGTAGTAGTAGTTGTACTAGAAGTAGTAGTAGTAGTAGTAGAGGAGGAGGAAGGGCAGCTTAAAACATAAATTGTTACTACATACAGTATTAAGTTATAAGAAACATCATAATTCCACTACAATAAAATTAAAAAAAGAAAGTGGCTAAATAAAAAGCTTTGAGGACTGTGTAAGTGGAAGAGAAACTTTCAAGTGGCGTATTTTGTGAAATTCTTGTTCCTTGGTATCTTGATGTTCGCGTTACAGCTGATCAATCTTTTAATTTGTGGTTTTGCTATGATGCTGTTCTTGGTATGACTGTTGTAAACGATTGGTTAGTTATTTAGTGACACTTTTCACCTTAGTACTGCGGGAATACATTACGGATGGGCTTAGGTGCGAGGTCATTATTTACGACTTCACAGCCGCTGATTTTTTCATAGAAACATAATTTTAAAACGCTGAAATTTCAGTATGATTTATAGAGGACACTGTCGTAGTTATGGAAAATGTGTTAAAAGATAGTTATTTCTAAATTAAACCTAACCTAGTCTTAGGTGATAGGAAAAACAAGTGACAGAAGCATTGTTAGAAGACCTCACCAACCTAACCAAAGAAACCTATCTAACCTTACATCCTTGCCGTGAGGCTCAACCCTCCGGACCCCCCGGCATATTAAATTGAACGAATTTACTATTATATTGAACTATTATATGATGTAATTTTACGTGAGAGCAGCAACCCAACCCGCGTGGCTTTTAAACAAACTAGCGACTGGCGTCGATTGGAGATGATCGGATGATTGACAATGTACCGTCGCATCACGCCGAGAAAGACAAAGTAGTGTACTCCTAGTCACCTAATTATCTACCAAGCTCACTGGTGAATATATAGGAAGAATATAAACATCTAAACAAATAATGCGTCGGGTTTGACGTCCTCCATATTAGCCCCATAATATTGTGGACATATACATTTTGCTTGGTTTCGATAATGATACAGTTTAGTTTCGTGAGGTTAGTCGTGTATGTTTGTGTTCGGGAAGGAGTCTGCGGCGTACTCAGCCTTGTCATATTATAAATTCATCCCTTGGCGTCCGTGAAGAGGACCTTAGGAACGCGTGCTTTCCACCGCCCTTGTTTGTGTCCGTCCTTGCTTGTGTCCGGGACTTGTGAACATGATAACTCGAACAAATATCAAACTTTTAACTAGACTTGGAATGTGGATATATGACAAGATCTCAGAGGAGTTCGATAGTGAGCATTATATGTCGTTACTGTCCAGAGTTACGGCCTCCTGGACTTTCCCGAGGCACGAGGGAGAACTAGTCTACCTTTACCGCCAACCTTGCCCAGTCTTATGCTGTAATCAGTGTTGTACTCTGCTGCACTGTAATCCCAACCTGTCTTCTTGATAATAACTGGTTTTAAGGACGTTTCTTTTGTAATTTTGAACGTATAATTATTCTTCCAGTTATGATTTTAATTTCATGGAATTTGTGGTTGTATTTTGTGTAGTAGTTGTATTGTGGTGGTTGTGTTTACGGCTGTAGTCCTGGTGATTGTCTTTAGGTGTTGGTTGTACTTTAACTACGGTCCTGTTGATCAGGGCTGGATGAAGACTCTTATCATCGCCTGACACAATCTGTAAAACTAAGGATCGCTGGTGTCAACTGCAGTGCCGACCCCGTTCCTTCTTTATGTATCTCTTGCTTCAAACTCCTAAAGTCAAAAGGAACGATAGGCCTTGCTTTCGCAGTGTGCTATATCCACACTGTCCCTAATGGGCCACCAGGTCTGTAGGTCCCACTTTCACATTGGTGGACACTTATGTAGGTTTTGCTTTGTCTATTTGTTTCCTTTTATCGAGGTAAACAGAAGAGGATTACAGTCAGTGGCGGATCTAGAAATTTTTTGAGGGGGGCACTCTGATGTGTTTGGGGGGCTCAACGACTGTAGCCCTCCGCCCCGAAAGGTTTTTTAAACCCGACCAATTTCAGGGATATTTTTACCGCCCCCGGATCCGCCAGTGATTACAGTATACTGGTAATGTGCGCAGTTCGCTAAGCTGTCAGATACAGTCAAGGATTTGGAGGACACCAGAGGGCTGAGAAAGCATTGTGTTGTCAGAATTGCCCCCGCCAAAAGACACAACGATGCAGACTAATTCCTTCGTTGTTTTGGTCCGATAAAATCCTTCTGTGATGCCACTGGCAGCTTGTGTACCATTAGTTCTTATGTTGATGTTATTTTAATGATCTGGAAAGAGTTGTCATTGAGTTATTGTGTTGCAGAAACACGACTTAGAGAAAAGTCGTTTCTGAACGAATTGGGTTCATGTGTCTTTGGTGTTGCTGATAATTTATATTATAACACCGTGGATTGTGTTGTGTTGATTATCTGTTATTAAAGAAAAGAAGAAGAAAGGGGATGAAGGTCAACTGTGAATCCTTGAAGACGATGAATGATAAATTTTGCCATGAACGTTGTGATACGTTTATGATGATGAGTAATCTGATGTGCGAGAAACAAAAAACTGGAACCTTGGCTTACCCGACTGGGTTTGTGGTTGATTCCTACACATTAGGGTGGTGTGGTGGGGGACGAGCCTCTCTTGTATGCCCTCAGATGACTTGAGAAATATTCACTACCTGTCCGTTAATAAAGATTATCCGCATGTAGGTAATTAGTCTCCACTGTTCATCCATAGACAAAGAAGCGGCCAAGGATTTCAATGCACTCGTAAGAAGGAATCTGAGACGTGTTCCTCGGAGCCACCTTCTCCAGTTGTGCTTGGTGTCAGGTGTTCTCCAGGCGCTGTCCAGGTCACACTACTCTCAGCTCTACTATGAAAAGTCAGCAGTGTCACACGACCCACCATCACTTGCTGAGCCTCCCGGAAGGACTCTTCGTGAGTGAGATTGCACAACCTTCGACAAATAGCAGACACTCGAGATCATTTCCTGTTAGCTTTCCCCAGTTGGATGTTTGAGTAGGGAGGCCCCGGGAGCACAGCGCGTCCAGCCAGTGTGTCGTCTCGCCGCGGACTTAGAGGAAGGTGAGAGCCTGCGTGCTGTATTGGCCATGGTGTCTCGCCCTGAGCCTAACGTACCATAAAACTCACCTATTTCATTCGACTCCGAAAGGCTTTTCTAGGTAACATTTGATCAATCGTATTTGTTAAGCGGTTGTTTTATGTGTTTCATTGTGTATAATGTGTCCATATAATGTGATAATTAAAGAAAAGTGAAAGGACGTTCTCGAGAAGCGAGATGTGGCATGTAGTTTGAGCCAGACTCCAGTTGTTGCCGGGTATTGTGCATGAGGCGCCAGGCAGCGGGGCATTTATCTCCCCACCATAAAGATTCATCTGATTCGTTCGGCTTCGTTCAGAGAAGAGATGTTACAGCCGCACCATCGTCTACACAAGGAAGTTTCTCTCGTACAATCAGTTGTAGATTTTAGTTTGTAGCAAAATATCCCTCCGTAACTTCTGTCAGTGACTTTTCCAAGCCCCCAGACGGCCTCCTGAAGAAGGGGCGAAGAACGGAGAGTGTCTGGAAGCGTCGGTCGGTAAAGGAGTGTGTGAGAAGCGTCGGTCAGTTGGTGGCGCCGTCCAGTCCGCGGCCACCGTCCCTGCCAGGTGTGACAGCAAGAGTCCCTCGCACCTGACTCACTGCTCTTAACTACTTTTTGTGCCAATAAAACTTCTTTTTATTGTGATATCGTTTAATTTACCTCCTATGACAATCTGTGACAAGCATCATCGGACGCTGAACACGATCAGGGGGTCTTATTCCAATCTGGTCTCTCCTTAGTCTTTCACTTAGAGAAGGCTTACTACGCTTGAGTTGCCTGCGGCTGATATAGACTCCGAGCGATAAATGTCAGTTAAAGCTTTGAAAGTTGTGGTTAAAAGTGGAAACAAATTCAGGCGTTAGTCAAGATATCATACCAAAAGCTGAGTTCCCCAAGACATATTTTTAATTCTTTTTAATATAATATAATTGGAAAAATCACTGGTCTGTGTTACGTACAGTAGAAGAGCAGAGGAGATAACATGAGGCAATGACATACAAGTGAGTGTTGTGGTGTATAGCAGGAGGGAACCAGAGTCAACACGCGGCCCAACTTCCTCTTGTTTCAAGGTCTATCTACATCGAGCATTGTCTGCATTCACTTGTTTTTCTTCTTCCTAAATCTCTCGCTCAGCCTGTTTCCACTAAACCCTCCTATCGCATACGGAAGAGGATCTTGTTTAATATATGTATGTAGTATGTATGTATGTACGTATGTCTGTATGTATGTATGTATGTATTTATGTATGTATTTATGTATGTCCAGCAGGCTAACACAACATCTCTATCACCAATATGTATACTTTAATTTCCTGGTGTGTGTGTGTGTGTGATATTTTTAGATGGAAGAATGAAAACAAGTTACAAGGGAATGAAACTATGGAGAAAACACGAGAGAAATGCACAGGGTATCAGATATATTTAACCACCTGTAAGATAAGATAAGATAAGATAAGAGTTGTGCTCAAGGTCAGGTCGGGTGTGAGTGTGGGTGTACGAGTATTGCTCACCACACCTCCACTTTTTGGGGTTAGGTTTAGTTGTTTATTTATTAGTGTGTACACATATCACCCAAAAGGTCAAGATCGACTACTTCCTCTCATTATCTTACTGTGTGTGGTTAGTCATCAAGGCTACGAGGCCGTCTGTCAGTCTCCCGTATTACTTAATTTAACTTCTTTATCAATCAAAGCATTTTATCCCATCCCGTTTTACTTTATATTCAAGACACGTAGGATGTGGGTTAGTGTGTGAAGGAGGACGTGTTGGTATCTATTGTGAGTGGTGGGTGTGGCAGGAATTCCCAGTATGCCTATTGGAAGGTGACGGCGTGTTCCCCATACTGGCGTCACATAAACAAACCCAGCTGGCAGTCACCCTTCCCGGAATCATTTTCTCAACCTTGCTACGTGTTGTTGTTAGATACTTCGCATAGGCCGTTTAAACGCAGTAGTACAACAGTGTAGGAGAAACTAGGGATATCTGTTGATAATTCCATAAATAATGTTTTGAACAATAGTATTCATGCATACATTATGTATATGTGCAATTGATACTGTATATTATATCAACATGTACTTGGGTTCAGGCTAGTAGAGGAATAAGACTGTGGACGAGGCGGCGTCAGTGCGCGTGTACCTCCTTGGTTTACGAGCGACTGTTGTGTTGCTCTAGTGACCCGAGTACAGGAACACCGACCACACTTTTACACGGGTTGTAAACATCCTGACACTGGCGGAGCAGCAGCAGGCCATACAACACCCGCTCACCTGGTTGAAGCTCTCACCTGTGTCACCCACAGTATGGTCCGTATGGCTTGCCGTGTTGGTGTCCCTGATGACCTCGGCCTCCCTCCCTGCCTCTCCTCAGACCAGATGCTCAGCCAGCCCAGGTGGGGTGAGGGGTACTCCTGGGTGACGTGGAGGGTAGTGGAGTACTGTAGGGGTGACGTGGAGGGTAGTGGAGTACTGTAGGGGTGACGTGGAGGGTAATGGAGTACTGTAGGGGTGGCGTGGAGGGTAGTGGAGTACTGTAGGGGTGACGTGGAGGGTAGTGTAGTGTAGGGGTATCGAGATATTAATGTTGTCTAGCACTCAGGATGGAAGGAAACTCTAATGTGGTTTTCTTGTATAATATAAGTTATATGATAGACAGTCTGGTGCTGGAGGAGGTGTTGCTTGTTCAGGAAGATGGGCAGAATGAGAGTTGGTTGGTGAGGAACCTCAGAGGACAGCTGGTGGGTCGCCATGCTCGCTGGCGGGAGGGAGGACCGCCAGGCAGGCGAGGAGATGCGAGGGCTGCCAGGCAGCGGCGGAGGAGGAGGCGTTGCTTGTTGTAGAAGGTTGGTCAGAATCAATCTCAATGGAGAGACAGAGCTTATATACCCAGCAGCAGCCGCTATGAGTCATGTTGGGAAAACCCGAGAAGTCGCCGGTGACTAGTTCCGTTGCTAAGATACGGTAACATCTGGTTGGTTGCTAGGGAGGCGGTAGCAGGTGGTGGCAGCTACGCAGTTTGTAGGGGAGACGTCCACTAAAGGAGAAATCTGTTTAAAGTATTTCATTTGTTTATTCCAAGAACACGATTAGTCCCAGATAAAAGTACATTAATGTTTGGTGTTCACGCATGGTCGATGTACAGTAAATAAACCGTAAGTTTTTTTTTTTAACAGTTTTCCGAAGTTCAAACAAGAATAAGACAACGAAGTGTTTATTTTTTAGAGTATAAATTAATGTCCATTGTCATTGAGATTAAATCTAATTTGTTTCTTGATTACATGATTCATAAGTTCCATAAGTAATCTCGGTGTTTATTTCATATTATATTGTATTGTTTGATGTCGCTGCTGAATGATAATTAATGATCTATGTATTTGTAGGTCCACACAACACGGGAGGGGTTGGTGGTGGCGTGTGGGAGTCTGCTTACCTCTGGCCGGATAATAAACCAACTCTTATAAGGGCTTACCTGATCCATGCTGTGTGTTGGATATTCTCAAGTTGGATGATCAGTGGTGGGTGAGGGTGGTGGTGGTAGTGGTGGGTGGTGGTGATGGTTGTGTCGGTGTTGGGTGGGGGTGGTGGTAGTGGTGGGTGGTAGTGATGGTTGTGTCGGTGGTGGGTGGGGGTGGTGGTAGTGGTGGGTGGTAGTGATGGCTGTGTCAGTGGTGGGTGGTGGTGGTAGTAGTGGTGGTGGTGATGGGTGGGTGGGGTGGTAGGTGGTGGTGATGGTTGTGTCGGTGGTGGGTGGGGGTGGTGGTAGTGGTGGGTGGTGGTGATGGTTGTGTGGTGTGGTGGGTGGGGGTGGTGGGGGTGGTGGTGGTGGTGATGGGTGTGGTGGTGGGTGGTGGGTGGTGGTAGTGTGTGGGGTGGTGGGTGGTAGTGGTGGGTGGTAGTGATGGCTGTGTCGGTGGTGGGTGGTGGTGGTGGTGGTGGGTGTCATGGTAGTGGTGGTGTGGTGTTGGCGTTGGTAATGGTGCTGGGTGGTGGTTAGTGGGAGATGGAGTATACAATAAATCAGCAGTATGATAGTACATATAAAATTAATCAACAAACTATATTGAAATAATAATCTAATTGTCTTAACAAGAACTGAAGGAACATTTACAGTTAAAAAGAATGATAGTTTGTGATATTATTTTCTCCATGAAGAGGTATAAAGCTGTGTAATATAATTTTTTTTGCTCATTTATCAAGTATTGTAGTGTTTTAATTTGTGTTTTAGTCATAGGAGTTGCCTTATCTGTTGAAAGAGTTATAAACCACCACCTACACTTCATCTTCAAATTTAGCACCACAGTTATTAAATAGTATTCCAAATGTGCTGAAAATACTCAAATATGCAACTTGTATTTTGAGGCCAGAGGATGTGAAGAAAACTTTAAATATAAACTGCTTGGACTACCAGTATACTTAGAAGACTTGTAAGGATTAAGAATAGGGAGGGGGTAATGTCTGAGACCAGCACTTCCACCATGAAGAGTTGTGGTCTTTTTATACTAGTGCACTGTTCTATCTAACCTGTCACCACCTCATTAGGTTGAGGTAGGTTAAGTTAGGTTTGGTTAGGTTAGGTTAGGTTGGGTTGGGGTAAGTTAGGTTAGGTTAGGTTTGGTTTGGTTGGTTTTTGGTGATTTTTTGTTTTTTTGGCTCCCATGTTTCTAATACCCAAAGAAAGAACAATGCACTATTATAAATTAACCGGAGTTGATCTATTTTGTTAATTAAAGTTATTCCACATGTTCTTACCAATACATATTGTAAGTATTTTAAAAGGCGACAACTTTTTATTTAAATTAGGGTACAGTATTAGTGTTGTTCTCATAGATTATTGTATTTATATATATATATATATATATTAGTTTTTTGCTATGATCATAAATCACCTGTCTTGGGCAGGGCATGGAGGAGGAGGGAAATTTCAGGGTAAAACAGGGTGAAAAGCTGATTATTTACAATCTATTAACTAGATAAATGGAAGTGAGAATGC